CCAGCCACAGGCTGAGGGTCACAGTCCTGCTGTGCAGGGGGTGCCCAGGACACCGTGAGCTGCATGGAGAGGGCTCCCTGCTGTCAATAAATGGTTGGTTTGAGCACATTCTCTCCCTGCTGCCTGGCTCAGCTCTCTGGGGCAGGGGGCTGCCTTCCCCCACACCCCCTCTACCCCAGCCCCTTCACAGCATCCTGGGCACTGGAGGAAGCTGTGCTGCTGCTGGTTTGGGTCTGCTGGCCCATGGCTGGCCGAACTGGACAAGGGATGGAAAAAATGCACTTAGCTCCAGGGGAGGGGACAGCCCCCAGCACAGCCCCCGGCACAGCCCCCGGCACAGCCAGCCCCAGGAACAGCCATCTCGGTCCATTTGATAACGCCCAGTGGGCGCTGCAAGCGCTGCTGCAGCCGGCGCAGACACGGGGAGCAGAGCCAGGGTGGGGATTTGCAGACATCAGCAAACCTGTTGTGTGGCCGTGCTGACTGCTGCAGCTTTGCTCTTTGCTGGCAAAACTGGCGAGCCAGCACGAGTGGGAGATTTAATCTGATATTCATGGCAGGAAGATTCAGCCCAGACTGTCACCCCGGCCTGTGCTGCAGCTGAGGGGCTGGAGGCTGGCTGGGGACCTAGGCTGGCCTGGTGGCCCTGCCCTGGGGGAGCTGAAGGCCCAAGGACTGCACTTTGGGGTGGGCACAGGAGCCCCTGCTGTGGGGAGCATCGCTCAGTGATGTGTGGCAGCCACCTCCCCTTGCAGTGGTCACACTGCAGCTGAGTGAGCCACAGGTGCCAGCCATGCCCCTGGTCCCCTGAGGGGAGCAGGGTCATGTAGGAAGGTGGGGACAGCAGAGGAGATGCTCTCCTTTGCTCTGCACTTCTAGCACAAGATGAGGGTGCGTCTCTAGGAGATACCTTACAAACAGCAGCACATCCTGCTGCAGGGAGGACTGGGGAAAGGCTGCACCCAGCACCTGACCCCCATCTGCTAGCCCAGCCTGCGTCTCCTGGCAGCGTCAGGAGCTGGAGCTGGGAGGGAACCAGTGCTCAAGGCCAGGACCACATCCAGCTTTGTCCTGGTTTAGGGTCCTCGGCCCCAAAGGGGCATTCACCTGCAGACACGAAGCACTGCAGCCCGTGCACAG